TATGAATCACCTCAAGTTATCTCCAGAAATACTCACTATTTCACTTGTTCTAAAGAAGTCCTTTCAGCCACTATCTTATTTAGTAGATTCCATGGTCAATAAAGTTAGATAATATTATTTGTTACAAACAGCTGACAGAGGAAAGGCAGGTTTACTGTCACCCGGTTCAATACCACACCTATATGTAGTTCGCCACTGAAGTTTGGGGGCTTAGGCTGCCGGTTTCCATTACTGAATAGCAGATCTTTACAACTTTCGGGTCCACCCCGTCTGCTGTGCATCACACGAACGTGTGCAATAAAAATATTGCAACAAATCTTAACATCAAGATCATTTGACTCCGGGTCGTTGGATATTCAGGTTGTTACCACGATATTGAAGCAAGGAACTGGTGAAACCAAAGGTTTTCGGTACCATAGTGTAGAAGACCGGAGTCCGATTGCTTGGTTTTTTCCTCTCAAATTTTGTCCAATGCTTCCACCGAAATAGAAGCACTGTTTACCGATTAATTCACCGAAGAGCATCAACAAGTACATCTCGCGGTGACGTGAAATAAAGTATGTCAAAATAGGAAAACAATTTTGTTCTGATTACCAGTATAGAACCGTACCTAGAACCTCAATCTGCGATCCAGTGTGATGGTCTTCCTTATCATATTTACTCCTTACTGGATAGAAGGATGAAAAAATGATTTGTTCAAGTGGAACCCTCCCTCCCTCAATAAAGACGTATCAAACACACGTACATTATTATTGGACTTGAATTTGATTGACCTAGAGTAAACCACATGACTTCGCGTAATTTATAGTTTTTCTCGCATTTTTTATTAGCATATACCGGATGAAACCGCGCTCGATATTCAGTGGTATCAACAACTTCATTGTCAGTTGAATGATTCACTTGCTAAAATTGATCATATCCAAAGCCGTCTCTCGCTGTTTCATTCAAGCGCTATAGAATAATTTCTCAACTAGTGTGTGGTCCACTTGTTTGGTGTTTAATATCTTACCGTCAAGCAGATTGTCTCGAGAAGATAATTCGGTCATTCCATTTTTAGTTTTTTATTGTAGTCATGATGTTGTTAAGATCGTAATGATATAATTCCTGAATACTTTCGCGTTTCATCTACTAAGCAGCTCACTTCGGCCCTTTCTGTCTGTCACCTTTCTTTATGTTGCTACTTTTCCTTCAAGCTCATCTAATGCACTTGATCCCCCGTCTCTATCTACTGCGCGCCTTGTTCACAGCCCGATACCCGTTTCGAAATCGTGTACGAAGGTACTGAGAATGAACTATTCTGGAAATGCGTTGGTGGAAAACGAAAAGTGGATCAATCAGCCGACTTTCTTCAATACGGTCGTCTGTTCCGTTTGTCTAATGACCAAGGGTATTTTTGTGCATCCGAGAAGTGTTCAGATTTTTGTCAAGACGATCTGGCCGATGATGATGTGATGATGTTGGACACAGGGGATCAGGTAATTTTTCTCGTGATTGTTATCCTATTTGTGTTGTGCTCACCGTTTGCCTCGAAGAGCTCACGCTCATAGAATCAAACTACTCGATCCAAAATGTTGGACGTGCAAATGACCGCACAAACAGAGATTACATGCAGTGTCAAGTGTCCGTGGAAAGATTGAACTAGCCGCATCGATTTGCCACATTGTTCATTATGAACAACAGTGGATAATAATAATCAATCAAGCTTTTATGATGGGAGATTAATAAAACTTTGATTTTTTTACTGTACGCAATTTCATAGTTTCCAGGTTTTAAGATAGGAATTACAAAACGCACTGTTGCCGCTGACTTCGTCACAATTTCATATCCCGTATGAATTTTTAGATACCCACTCTGGAGGCTGCGAAGATGGATCCGAAAGCGATATTTTCATTCTTGAACGCCATGTCATAGCCCGATCATCTTGTTATTTCTTCCAATATATATATATATATATATATATATATATATATATAAGTTGTACNAAACGACGCTTCACTTCAGACCATTCAGTGAAGTGATTTGCCTTGACGGACGATAACCGATTTACAGCCCACGTCTTCTGATATTGCTCTCACGAAGCACGAGGGATTCTGTGTAGACAACGGTGATTGAAAACAGCTAATTATTGATTATTGCCTTCGGGAAGAAGTCAGGTTTCGCAATGTAGCATGTATCGTTGTACTGTATCCTTTCAATAAAGGGACTGAGTTGCATCAATGTCCGAAATGTTATAGACTGCGAAAAACAATCTTGATTTACCAGCTGAGCTACGAGGCCATACCGATAGCACTGATCTTTTCAAATTCGAATTACCCATCCAACTTACAGAGGCATATGGCATCCACCAGTTAACATGTAAGCTGACTGCCTTGATACGCTTTCCTTAGAATTCACCAGAGTTCATCGAATCAGATCTACGTCCTGTTTGAATTGGCAAAGATTTTTGCATTCTTAATTTAGTGGAAACTTGTGTTCGTCACTGTTAACAAGTCAACGGAACAACCGTCACAGTTTCCGTTTCGGTTTTCACAACCACTAACCACGCACAATCGTTTGTGTACCCTGCCAAAACACAAACATCACCGGATAGGAAAGATAGTGACGGCCATCAGAGATGAGCGACTAGCTTGCTCTGATCAACACCGAAGAAATTGGTCAGAGAAATTGGATTAGTTAATCGTGTGTCAAAACGAGTGGATGGATGAAACGGTACATGAGGGGACAATAGGTAGGTGAACGAAAAATCATTCCCGAAAAACGTCCGTAACCATTAACCATAGAAGAAGGTAGAAACTTCTGACTAATTCTTGTTTTAGTTTTTCTCTAACTTTTGGAGTACAACAGGAGTGCACTATCTTCCCGTTTTGGCTGAACCTCGTTAAAGATAATGTCCTGCAAAGACCGTTACCTAAATCAGCGTTAGACTTTATTCTGAAGACAGTGTCGTGGAGTTGAAGAAGACTGGTGATACTGTTTTGCTGAATGACGATGCGCAGTCGATGCAATTATGGTGCCGCGGTATGTCAAGTCCTTCGCACCTTCGAAGTACACGATCGATGGGAGCTGGTATCTGCACTTTTCTTTAGTAGTGACACTCTGTAAATGGTCGAAAAATTTGCCTACCATGGAAGTTGCTTAACAGCTGACCTAGGTTGGCGTGATTAAAGCAAGATTTCCACGCATAGACGCCACCTACGCTTTGTATGCGCATGCTCTACCAGTTGAGCTACGAGAACAAAAAATTCAAATCTGCCAAACAACAATTAACCTAGGTTAATTGTCCACCACTCGGAGACCGGGTAGCTGATCACACCGTTTTCCATTTTTCATTTACACGATGTAGCACAACCCATTTTTGCGAGCTTGTTGCGGGCGTCGCGTCTCGCTCATCTCAGCACTTACCTCCGGAGTTATAACTCGGTTGGAAACTNACTTGTTGCATGAGAGCAATGAAGAATTTGGTTCAGTTTCATATGGGGAATTCGTCATGTATTTTTATTTTTCTCTTACTCCAGATCTACGTATGGTGGGGTAAGCGAACATCAGACGTGGAACAGAAGCTTTCCCTTCAGGCTGCAAAACTATATCAAAAACATTTGACCAACACTCAGCGTAACCGTCCACGTCAAATGAAACTCACCGCGAAAAACCTTGAGCCACATATGTTCAAACGATGTTTTCACGGTTGGGGACCGTTCCGTGAACCGAAAGACTGGTCTGGATGAGGACGTTCCGCAAAGGGACAAACTGTTTCAATTCTGGTTACCTCAAANACACTCATGGAACCCACCACCTACTGTGAATGTGATATTTTAGTATGTCGGACTCGACTCCTTGCTACTAACCTGAGCATGTCCAGTTTTGCTGCATCCTCCAAGTTTATTTAAACTGTTCCTTCTGCTTTTGATATCCTATTCATCTCTCGTTTGTTTTTTTTCCACCTGAACTATCCACTCCATTGGGATTTCGACTCTCTCTCTCTCTCTCCCATCACATGACTCTCAAAAGTATGTTTTATCAAATGGGTCTGTCAATGTTTAAATACGGTCATATCTGCTCACACGCACCGGCACATACACACAGAGACGTTCTGTTGGGGTCCTCTTGCGGACACCAGTAAAGTGAGCGATGGTTGTCTCTTCGTTATCGTGCCTTTTGACTGCTTGTTATACTTGGAGTTCACATCAAATGACATGAGTTATTATTGCTCGTGATCAGATATCATCTATCACAACTTGACCATGTGTGAGTTTTCGACATACAGCTCAGACATCAACTTCCTTCATTAGTTCCTGTCAGTGCCACATTGGTCTCACTGTATCATTGTGTGAATCTTGCCACGTGAAAAATGAGAATAGCTGAAATCCGTACCTGGTTCAGGGTTTCACGTAACCCGTTCTCGTCAAGAATTCAACGTTCACTTGAAGGAAAGTAATTCACTGTACAGTTGAAAAGGGTTAATTGGGGGAATGAATCGCAGTTGCCTACCTGTTTATTGTATATGAAATATCACGGGGCGAAATCTGCGATAACTTTTGTAAGTATGAACTCAAAGTGATAATCGCCAAAGGCTTGTCTGTTGAGCGTGTCCTAAATAGATTTGTGAGACCGGTTGCCCCAATTGGCTCATATCAACCAAACGCTTTCGGATCATCAGCACACTCCGGACAAAATGTTAATGCGAACTTATATCGAACCACTGTCACCCTGAACATACCATCATCCTTAGATAAGTATTTCCCGCATACCATGCTTGCCCATAGATGCTTCCGTAGTGACCTATTACGATACGCCTAACAGTTTCTTTTAAGCACCAGATCATATTAGTTCACAATAGATACTCTCCTTTATGTACGTTTTTATTAGTTATGAAAGTACGTGTTTTGCGATGATCGTTGTCAACGGAACCCGTTGTTTCCATCCTCGCATGTTCACCGGGTTGGTTAGTTTGCTTGTTCCGCAGTTTTGCATATTGTGGAGAAAAAGGTGATTTTGGGTTAGAATGGGTGACACCTGGGGTCATTCACTTAGCATCGGTGACGAGGCGCTTGCGTGTATATGACCTTAGATGAAGCACAAGCGGGAGTGGGGCGGGTGAAACAAGTTCGGCTAGTTATAAACCAAAGTGATAGAATAGGGGCAAGTGATAAACTACTCAAATTTTGATTGGTGAATGCAAAGTACGCGTTAGGGGCGAGTCGCTATTGTGGCCTATCGTCCTACATTGAACCTGATCAAAAATAGTTGGAAAACTAGACGAAGCTGCACCTTATGCACACATGCAGTATTTAGGTGTAGGTGAATCCGAGAATAGGTGTGTAAGTAAGTAAATAAACATCTGGCACGCAGCGCGAAAGGCAAGCAAATGAAAGTAAGGTAACCATGAACAAGATAAAGATAGTTTCAGTGGGGATACATGAGCTCGGGAATGAAGAACGCTAAGGTCAAAACCTAATTCGGAAGATGAAGATTCACGTTTAGGTGAATTGGATGTAGGGATGGTTTATAGGCTCCAAACAAAAATAAGATAAGAGCAAAACGGATACTGAAGCCGGAGCGGTCGTTGCCAACCCTGGCGATAAAAGTGCGAAGGGTTGATAGTTGGGTACACTACCTCGTGTCTGAAGATGTGAAAAATGTGAAGGAAATTCTAGAGCCTTGGGGAGATTGATATTCAACAAGAAAACAGCATGTGATTTCATGCGCTCGGGCGAGGATGGTGCGATCGTTGTTAATACTTGCTGTTCGGATCTTAAAATCTTTGGAGAAACCAAATTTCGACAGTTTATCCTGTTTACCAGACTCAATGGAAAACCTTCAACGCATCCATTCGACTGCAACTGATCGGGTATAGGAAACCTGCGCCGGAGGATCGTCTGTGATTCTGAGCGACTGAAAATGAAACTGACGGTCGCTAAACCGCATTTTCGGTAGCTGGTGGTGACTGGATTAACTAGCAATGGCTGACTTTTAAATGACAAATGTGAGATAGATAGATGTGGACTTCTGAGGAGTCTCCACGTTTGAAAACATGCACTAAGGCGTTGATAATGCTTCAGATTTGAGTGATAAACAGGACAAACGAAGCAAAAGGATCAACGTATTTTGAGGCAAATAAGCGGGATCCCATCGGGTCGCTGCAGTTTTCTTTCTATAGAGATCGATGTAATGGTCGCAAATTTTCTGGTCGAAATAAGTAATATCAAAAGATCGCCTGTCGATTGATTGTCATCAAAAACATATGAACCTAGCAGCGCCATTTTACACATCCCAAATCAAACATGATTTTTAGAATCGTAACTGCTCTGTGCTTTCATCATGACATGTTGGTTCGTTCGTGCCCAGTGAACTTAATTTCTTTTGTTCACCACCATACCCTGTAGAGGCAGAAAACAACCTTATCAAAGCAAACACCATCTTCAGTCAACGATNGTTTTCCTCAGTAAGGTGCACTTAGCACCATAGAAAAGCTGAGAACGGTCAAGCAGTCAGTTTGACTCGTTTTTTAATTGATTCCCTCTTATTTCTTCTCAACAGCCATATTTCT